CCGAAAGCCAGCTCCCTCTCCACTGATCGTGCCTGATACCCAAACAGATGTTTTATAACACTCAGCACACATGAGCTCACCACTGGCAAGTCTTTTGCACACAATCAGCCCGCAGTTCTTCTCACATCTCCCCTGTCATCCCACAAACTCAAATTCAGAACTCACAGGCAAGCTTGAGTCCTTACCATGGTAACAAAAGAGCAGAAGATGGAGAATGCAATTTTGAAATTTAATTTATTAATATTTTATAAATCTAATGACCAACTGGGAAATATGCAATACACAGAGTTAGCCAAACTGAGAAGTATTAAAAAAAAAAATGTGCAAACTATCTGCTCCAAAAGAATTCAGATTAAAATATTCAAGTAAAGGGCTCCAAAGCGACTTTGAATGAAATTTGATTGAATCATAAAATATTAGGGCTGAAAGACTCTTGGATGTCATCTAGCTAGAGCCACAACTTTGTTTTATAGATGAAGAAGCTGAGGCTCATAGAGAGAAAGTGACTTACTCAAAGTTTCACAGTGAGTGTGCCAGTGGAACTGGAGGCCTGCCTCCCAGGCCTGCCTCCCAGGCCTGACCCACAGGGAAGATCACAGCCCTACACATCCAGTTTCCTGTCTCTGTTCTCCTTAGACCATTGGTGTCTGCAGTTCAAAGCTGGGGAAAAGCCAGACCCTGGTCAACAAGATCTGTCATCCCGATGACACCATGATTGTTTCAGAGTGTGTTACTTCCAATTTAGGTAAAGGGTTTTGTTGAGGGACAATTTCCTATGATAAATCAATCAAAAGTAACCCAGAAAAAGTATTTTTAAAGGTAACATCTAACATTTCTAGTGTGGCTATCAAGGGGAGCATATAAGTCCTTGCCACCCTCTCCCAAGATTCTAGAAGATGTCCAAAGAGACCATGAGGAGATGACCAAGGAGACCTAAACTCACCTCCATGAGTTCACGGTCCTCTGATCCTCTGAGAACCTAAACTTGCAGGGAAAAATCTGAGCTTTCAACAAAGGCTCGCTCCAGCTCAGAAACTCTCAGGGACATGAACAGTATTTGCTGAGTACCAGCTTAAACCTAAACCTAGTGCTGCATTAAAAATCTCAAGGAGAGAAGTCCCAGATGCTGCCTCAGAGATGCTTACCCACCAGCTGGGAAGCAAAATTTATACTGAAAAGAGTGGCATAGTATACCCTCTCATTGAACAAATATTTGTGGAGGGTTTAGGATGGGCCAGCCTGGACATCCTGCAATAAAAGAGCAAGAAATTATTTGAAAGATGTAAGCCAATACTAGATCACGAAGGGTTGCATACGCCATTGGAGGCATTTGAATTTTATTCCAAAGATGGTGGGGAGCCAGTGAAGGATTTTAAGCTAGGCAGTGAATTGACCAGACTCATTCTGGGAAGATCTCTTGACAGCTAAGTCAAGAGCTGATGGATTGTGGCCATCTGCTACATGGTGTGATAGCATCTACAAGTGACTCAAGAAATTATTTGTAGTTTTAGTCTATCTTCAGGATAGTACAGTGAAAAGAGGAATAGCGCCTAAGACAAGCAGGCTGGTTTTAATCCTACTTCTACCATTTACCAGCTGTATAATCTTGGGCACATTATTTAAATATATCTAAGCCCTCAGTCTCCTTTCTGTATAATAAAGATAATAAGACTTAGCTCATAGGATTTTGATAATAAATAAAAAAGATGATGTGTCTGGACATTTCCAATAATCTTCCCAACACCATTCGATTCAGTCAAGTCAAAATGTCATTTTCCAGCCTGGAAGGGTGGCCACCTAGCATCCTGCAGAGCAACCACTTAGCAGAAGATATTGTTGTATTTTCTTCTTAGCATTTATCCAGAGCATTTTGTTGCTAATGTGTGGAAATAATTGGCACTGATTCTTTGTAAATGAGCAAGCGGAGGTAAATTGAGGTCAAAGCCAAATCTTGGATCTGAATCAAACCACCCAAAAACAATACTGCAAAGAATTAAACTGGGTTACAAAGACCAGTGTAGGAACTGAGTGCGCCAATCGCCAATCGTCCTAGCAACATTTTAAGCAAACACTGGTGCAGATTTGCTGGCATACATGACACTGAGAACATCTGGCCTTTCTATTATCCTCTTGCAAGCAAAAAATGATGTCGTGTAAACTGATCTTTAGGCCAATTATATGGTCTAAGTGATACAGTGTTTGCATTGGCTCCTCCTGCTCCAGGTTTTAAGAACTTAATTTGCAGCCACACCCCACCCTGAAGCCCTAATTGTGTCTTACTGTAATGGACCCCAGAGATTTGTTTATGTGAAGTCTGCACCTTTTTTCAGGACAATAAGTATGTATAAATACATCATCAGACAACTGAGTGTGCAAAGCACAATGGGAGGTCCTATAAGAATAAGTTACAGGAGTTTCCTAGCAATGAGAGAAGAGGATGCATAGGAAGGCGGGCTCTGGGGGCTGCTCTGATCACGGCCAAAGCTACATTTTTTTTTCCCCCTGTATACCAGTTCTATTACAGAAGCCAGGTGTGGCATATAAAGGCTCTAGCCTACTGCTCACTTAGAAGGCACTAAACTAGGAGTCAGAAAACCTAACACTACCTCCAGCTCACCTCTGTACAGTAGACAAGGTCATTATTGTGTCTGAGAAGTTTCCCCATCTAGACTCAACTTCATTTTCCAAACACCATGTGCTGGGCACTGTTCCAAGCCCTTCACCAGCACTGATTAGGTTAATCCTCATAATGACTATCAGTGGCAGGTGGTATTATTATCTCCACCTTATGTCACACAGTGGGGTGTCTCGCAGCAAGGGTTTGGCAGAGGCAGTGGGCTTACCCCTTCCCTTCTGGCTGCTTAAGGAGTGCTCTAAGCTGTTGAGTCAGCTCTAATGTACTCGGGGTCTATAATGAACCACAGCTCAGTGCTCTGAAGCAGGAGACCAAGGATGCAGCCCTGGAGTGTTACTGACCATAGGAAGGGGGCTTCTTCTTCTCTCCACACTGCATCCCCCACCCCTAGCCCGCTGCAGCTAAAGCCAAGAGGTCATGACAGCAGCTGGAGGGGCTGACTAGGGAAGTCTTTCTCCCTATCTCACTCCCCGCCCCTGCATCCCCTCATCCTCACACCTTTAGATTAATGGGCTTCCTCCCTGGCCCCAGGCCACCATCACTGACCCCTAGAGGGAGGGAGAGAGCCGTGATGGCCAGCCCTAAAAAAATCTGAAGCCACACAGGGACATGACCCCAGATACCAGCAGCTCCTACCCCAGGATTGGAATTTTCCTTCATCTTTAAAGGAAATGAATTTCTCCATTCTCTTGGTCTGACTTAGCATGTCTAGGAACGAAGGGCAGAATATGTAGTACAGTAAATCCCAACTCTGAGTTGTCCATTACAGGAATTTATCACAGATGTTAATCATTAGGGCTTTAACATCTTGAAGGAAAGAGCTTTATCCAGAATCATAAATAAACTGTAACCAAGGCTTAGATTTACAAAGCTGTAAAAGATTGCTGCTTGGAAAATTGGGAATGTACAGTACTGGGTTACAAAATCAACTTAAGGCATGAAAGCTTGAACTTGATCTGGGAGTTCTGGGCAATGCAGTGAGAAGATAGTAACTTATTTCTGCAGTTAGTGGACCCCCCAGTCAAAACCTAACAAAGTTAAGCTCTGGTTTAATTTCATGAAATGCAAGCTCAGAGAAAATGTGGTGCTGTCATCTAAATATGACATTGTATTTTCTAAACCAATAGTGGAGCAGCCAAGTACAAAACAAGGTCACTCCCTTCAAGAAGTTTCTCATCTGGTCAGGGAGGTAAGGCATTCACAGATCAAACAATTATAGTATGCAGGCTTCGGTGTCTGGCATAGACTGTGATTAGAGAAGAACTTAGGGAAGAAGCTGGAATCATCAGGGAAAGATGTGTGAAGGAAAGGGGACTTGACATAGGACTCAGAGGATAAGTAGAGATGTGCACGTGTAAGGAAAGGTTTGCTCGGTCCCCTCATCTCCCACAAACATACATTGTCTCCCTACTATAACTCTCATTCCAAACTGAGTCTCAAATCAAACACTTGTATATCCTACAGGTAATTGCCATACAGCTAATTGTTCCTTAAATTCCACTAACCCTACCTATTCCTAGTTGTGGGGACTTGGGAAAGTGACTTAACTTTTCTGAGCCTCAGTTTCCTCATCTATGAAATAGTGTTGCAGAAAAGTTGCAAAAATCAGACGGGCAAGAAACCAAGTAGGACTCTGAGAGTTGGAGAACTCAGGTTTATTTCGCCAGTGGTCCCAGAGGAGCTAGCGCTCTGAAGATGTGGGCCTGGAGCTCAGTTGCAATATTGCTTATATAGAATTTATTTGGCATGGACTGATTGGTTAATTTGTCCTCAGATGGTTACAAAGCCCAGGAGTTGCTATGGGTTGCAGGCAACTCCTGCAAAGAGTTACAAAGTGCGAGTTGCTGGGGGTACAGACAGTTACATTTGTTGCTTAGACAGAATGAGCAAAAGAGAAGATAAGTCTTTAGTTAATTTCGAGTATAGCCTAATGCAGCAAGCATAGCTACAGAACCAGAACAAAGAGCTGACTAGCCTTTTGAGTGAAAATTCCTCTTCAATAGAACAATGGATAATAATACCTGGCTGGCAAGGCTGTTGAGATTAAAATTGATGACTTCTGTACTCAGCTTGACCCTGTGCATCTAGTTAAGGTCATTCTCCTTCTCTACCTCCTCCTTGAGAGAGAGACTGCAGGAAAATATAAATTTTAACAAATAATTCTGCAACACAGTAAGCCCAGAAAAAGGAAACAGGGAGCTTATTTTTCATCAAGTTCTATTGTATGCCAGTAGAGCATTGTCATAAACATCATGTCCGCTTTCTGCATATTTCTTTCAGGCCACCCACCACACTTCTCACTTGCCCTGTTATAAGGTCATAGCAAACTTCAGCTCACATTTCTTTCTCTCTGATTTTCTTCCAGGGGCGCTGTATCAACTTCACCAGAGTCAAGAACAGTCAGCCCGCCAAGTACCCCCTCAACAACGCCTACCACACCACTTCGCCGCCTCCTGCCCCCATCTACACCCCGCCACCCCCTGCACCCCATTGCCCTCCCCCACCCCCCAGCGCTCCCACTCCTCCTATTCCATCCCCACCTTCCACCCTTCCCCCTCCCCCTCAGGCTCCACCTCCCAACAGGGCGCCACCCCCTTCCCGGCCTCCTCCTAGGCCTTCTGTCTAGACCCCAAAGTTCATGCTCTGGGCTCTCAGAAACTTTAGGGAGGAGGCTCCTCTGTGGTGTTAGAACAAGTCTTTCCAGTTAAAGGAGGCTTCTGCTTTGGAAATGAGTGGTGATAAAGCCCACTGATGTTCACACACCTTAAAAATTGGTTTGTAATGCCAATATACCAACAATTGTGATCGGCGGAAAGAAATCGAAATTCTGAAATGCCTGAAAACAAATATGAGGCAACTACAATCACAATTATAGCCAGCCAGCCATCACCTCTAGAAGGTTCCAGAGACTGTGAAACTGCTGAGATGCTCTAAATGGGATTGTTATCTCATAGAGACCAATAAGAAATCATTTCTCTGAGGGTGAAATGCAGAGTCGGATAAGAAATAACATTGCTGAGTTTCTAATTGCTGCCTTCCTTCCTCCACTCCACCCCCATCACTTAACCCTGCATGGACCCTTGGCCTAGGAACCAAGGAATCCTACCCCTGTACATCACCCAGAAAAGTGAAAACCCTTTGCCTACAACTTCAGGGAAAGCTTGGGTTACCCTTTGGGGCAAGAAACTCAACATCAGACAGATATCCAAAAGCACGTCTTACTGGGATTTGCAGAGGAGTAAAAACATGCCATATTTTCCTTCCAAATTCTCTTGGTTTCCAAGTGAGGAAGAGAGCGTGTGTTACTGATGGAAAAAGGTACGTTGTCATGTTGCTGTGTAAGTGAAATCAAGTGTGTGTGCTGTCAAGGGGAGTACTGATGGGAGCATCAGACAGTTTCTAAAACCCACAGGCCATCAGCAGCTTGGGGTGGCTGGCTTTGGCCCAACATAGTCCCCTAAATCAATAGATAATGCATTGTCAAAGAGCACCCAGTTAATGATTCTTGTGAAAAATCAAGATTTGGCTTTGGTTTAAATCACTTGAGATACGAAGAAGTGATTGATCCCATTTTCTAGAGACAAACATGAGTTGATCTTCCCAAAATGGCACCACTAGCACCTACCACACAATTTCACTGATTTTACTTTTCTTTCTTGGTAAAGTTGTATACCAGAGACTTTTAGGGAGAGCTGAGAGACAATGGTCCTTACATAATAAGGAAACTATCCCCAGGTTCTTTGATTAAGCCCAAAAAAAGCCATGTGTGTGTGGACACAAATATATTTCTTCTTGGCTTTTCAACATATTCACAAATTATTGTCAACTGTTAACCCAGAGGAAATACTCCAGAAATGCTCTGCCTGAAATTCCCACTATGCCTATGACCCACTCCATTCCTCCAAGTCTTTCTAAATCCATTGTCAGCAGTAAGCCCTATAAGCACTTTCTAAACATTTAGCCTCATCAGTGTTTAATGGGGTCATTGTTGAAGGCCTCCTGCACCAATCTGTTCAAAATTATCTCCCCCTCCAGCTTTCCACGTGTCTTAAAATTTCTCTCTCAAACCCCTTAAACCTTTTGAGGAACAAAGCAGAGTATAAAATAAATATAACTTAGTGCTTTAAGCTATGGTCTCTGAAGATCCTTCAAGAACCCATGAGGCCAGCCTCATTCTTTGACCTTACTTAGAATAGAGACATAAGGACCTGGCATGCATTCCATAAACTCCAATTCCTATAGCCATGGCAGACATTACTAATCAATCGCAGCACTATTTCCCATGGAGCCCAATGATTTCTTTGCAACTCTCAAATCACAACTTCAAAAAGCTACCGCTCATCAATCAGAACTGAGAGAAAGATGAGCCCTATTTGCCATCCCTAAGGAAAAACAGGGATTGTGTGGGAGAATGGGGAAATCTTTGGGCATAAAAGGTACAATCAGGAAAACAGATCTGGGCAGAGTGCCTAGACCACAGGTGCTAAATCTGTAGTACCAACACCAAACTGACACTTCTCCAAGCGTATCTCAGATCCAGCCCTTCTCCCAGCCTGCCACTTCCAAAGAATCCCCCAGCCTTCTCATAGAGCTAAAATCAGAGATAGTCTCCAGAACTTATAAAAACAACCTCCCCCCATAGTCCCCCAACCTGGCCCATATCGTCTATATTTAGAAAACTAGGCTTCTTCTTTAGTATAGTCCTTCATGAAGTGGGAGCCAGGATGTCTCGGCCACCTGGAGTGACATTGCTGGACTCCAGAAAACCATTCTATAGAAGAATGGATTCCCCAGGCTCACAGTGTAGAGACTTTGAGCCCATGGAACCCGTTTTGACTGCTGGCAGTACGAAACGGTCCACCCCATACCACTGCCGTATGACTCACTGCGGCCATAAGAAAGTTCAAGCCACGATGCTGTCATCCTTGTGCAAAAAGATGGCGGGCATCGGGTGAGAACAGACAGTCATGATCTCAACAGCACGTCAGTCAGAAGCCCTTTGCAGTTTCCGAGATGTTGTTTGATGAACTTTTTTGGTGAAATAGGGAACTGCAAATATATGATGATTTTGAAAAGGGTTAGCAGGGTTTGTCCTTAAAACCGATTCGTCATGTCATCCCTAATCATTTAGAATTACAGTTAAGAAGGAAAAACATCTATTCTGTATGAACAAGGCAATATTTTAATAATAGGCTATTAAAGGCAGGAAGATTCTTTAACTGGTTTATAAAATCTATCAGTACTTGTATAATTCCCTGTAAAAGGCAGCAGACATATGATTGTGATCAGGAAACTGCACGAAATTATTTTTTCAACTCCCATGTTATTGTCCCCGTGAAGTTTTTTTTTATAATAAAACCCAATTTTTTGTTGTATATATTTGTATTCCATGCATTAGATGGAAGCATTTCTTATCCAGTGTGAATAAAAAGAACAGTTGTAGTAAATTATTATAAAGCCAATGATATTTCATGGCAGGTTATTCTACCAAGCTGTGCTTGTTGGTTTTTCCCATGACTGTATTGCTTTTATAAATGTAAAAATAGTTACTGAAATGACGAGACCCTTGTTTGCACAGCATTAATAAGAACTTCGAGGGGTCCCCTCTGTTGACAACCAGCTCACAAACAGTTTCTGGCCTGGAGCTTGGCACATATGCCAGTGAGACACAAGTCTCTCTTTTACCAACGTCAAGAACCTGAACTGGTGGACAAATTAATAGTCTTGGATATCTGGCCACGGGTAACCTCATTGTAAATATCACTAGACTGGGCAGAGATGATTTCAAAGTTTCATATATACTAAAGTCCAAACACTGTCAGATGAGGGAAAACTATTAAAGAATTAGAAAAAATAATAATAATTATGAGATAATGAGCAACGGTTTCAGCTCAGTGCCAACTCAGTAAAAAACACGTAATGCTGTGTAAAATGGGTTGAATTAATTTGCAAACTATATAAAGATATATGCAGTAAAAAAGCCTGTTAATGCACACCAGATGGGAATGGGGTGTTCTTGTCAATTGCCTTTTCTAGTTATCTGAGCTCTACTATATTATCATACTTGGATAACCAATTTAAAAGAATTAGAATATGAATTTTTAAGTACACTTAACATTAAACTCTTCTTCTAATTCTTTCTTCTTTCTGTGATAATTCAGAAGACAGTTAAAGATCTCCAGTGCCTCTGAGTCATTGTTATTAAAAATCAGTTATTGCTATACCATGCTGTAGGAGACCAGGCTAAACCTATACAATGACAAACCCTGGAAGTTGCTTTTTTATAAAAAAAAATAATAAATTCCTAAAATCAACTTTTTTTTACTGGTGTCTCTTTGTTATAAAAATAAGGTATAGATAGGTCAAGTATTTCACATCCTGGTCATAATAAAATGGCTGTCGTTCTACAAATGAAATTATATTTCTCAAATTATTTTATGCCCTCCACGAAACTCTTTACTGTCTTGATTACTCTCATTTCTTCTTTAGCTGTCCAACATTGAAAATATTTTTTTATTTCTAGTAACGGTTTTAAATTTTTTTAAGTAATCCATGCTAAAAGAAAAATAAAATAGAAAATGGAGACAGAGAAGCACACAAAGTAATGAAGTAATGTATCGTTTAGGACTGTGTCTAGCTGCTTGTAAGAGAAACATGGCTATGATTGATTTGACTCACAGAGCAAGGATTCCAGAAATTTTCAGCTGATCAGACTGGGCGGTGTTATAGATAGTGCCGCATTAAATACTCTTCTATCTACATACACAGCAAAATATGTTTAGTATTTTTAAATTTCTGATACAAAGTACTTTATTCTTAGCAGCTTCAATTCAGCATCCCCACTTAGATTTTGTGTAGGTAAAAGAGTGTCTCTTACTAGTTCCTGAACTTATTTCTTTACAACTCCTCATTAAGTCTTGAATTTATCTTAATTGGAATAAAACCATCTGCAAACAAAATCATGCCACAATTTCTTTCCAAGATTTCATTAGTATTCAACTTTCATAGCATGTTGAACACATGGACATTTTTTAAATTACATTCTCAATCATTGAATCATTTTGAGATAACTGGCTAGCAATTTGGAAGGGAAAAAAAGTTGGAGCCCTACCTCACTCTTTACACTAAAATAAATTTCAGCTGCGTTTAATTTAAGTGTAACAAAACCAGGAAAGTACTAGAAGTGGAAAAAATGCTTGCTATATGGAATGAAGAATTTTTAAATCCTGCATATTGTTTGCATTACCAACCAACTTTCATACGAAATCACTTCAATTACGCTAATGCTCCAATGCACTAAATTGAATAAAGAAAGAAAACGTTAGTGACAGGAATAAGATCATTGATCAGGTAGTAACTGTGAACTTGGGTGGGAGATCCACTATTGTTCATCACTAAATCTAATTTTCTGTCCTTGGATAAATATGTGTTTCTCTGTAGTCTCTCTAAGGTATATAATAATTCAGTATAATTCTTTGTCCATCTAAATACATTGTAACAAGGTCAATGTTGCATACAATTATCAAACATTTGGTATAAGGCTACAGAGTTGGCATATGCAAAACGGATGGATTTTATTCTGATTACAATTGTATTGTGTTGGCTTGAACCACCGCACCCCTACTGGAAAGTTAAACCTAAACAATTTTAAAGCCTTATAATTCCACTGGGTATAATATTTGATTCCTCTCCTTTTTACTCAATATTCAAATGGGCACTTAGTTATATAAATTCTTCTTGCTCTATTTAAGTTGGAACAATTTTAATATTTAGAGTTAAACTGCACAATATCTCCTTTACTGAGTTTTAAATATCATTTCACAGTGTACTTATAAAGCAACAGCAGTAGTTAACAAAATGCCTGTGTCACTGGAGAGCTCAAAGCAAAACTCTGTCAAAAGACATTCGATTAATTATACATACTCAGTATTTTAGCTGGCATCTTTAGTTGGAAGTTTCTTGTAAACATTAACATGGATATAACTCATAAAAGACATCTTCTTTTGTGTAGTGAAGTAGTTTGCATTCTTGTAAAACATTTTAAAACTACAAGGAATGTTGCGTATGAGTGCTAAGAGTCCAGAAAATATTTCATTTTCTTCTGAAGAAGAAGTCTTAAGACAGGAGACCTGTCAGCCACCCATCACTTACCCCTTTCAAATTGTACACCCCAAGGAGTGGCCACAGGAGACTTACATCCCTCTATCTTCACATTTTTTTAACTACAAGTATTCTGACATTACTCTCCTTTTGAGCCCCACCCCAGCTTTACAGGATACAAAGCGCATGTCTTTTTGTTCAGTTTTACTCTTGGAATTATTTACAGGACACCTATAGATTCTGTAACAGACTTGCAACCAAGCTCTTGTGGAGATAGATAAATATTTCATGTGAATGCAAAGAGTAGTTCCTAGATAAGGTGATACATAAGTATTTACATCCATCCGAAATTACAGAAATGAGCTTCTCCCCAGCTAGAGTGGATTCCGAGTGAGTGGGAAGCAGCCTCTGTCTCTGCAGAGGTGGTCCAGGGGTTCAAAAGGCAGGCTCCTAAGGGTGGAAAGGAAAACAATGGGAGATCCTCAGACAGGAAGTTGAGAGAAGCAAATCCGGGCAAGAGCAGCAAGAAAAGAAGAAGTAGCAAACAAAGCTGCATAGGTTCTGGCAATCCAACACCTGCAATTAGGTATGGTGCAGGTAGACTAAGGCAGGCATGGTAATATAGTCGTTAGGATGTAGCAAAGAACCAAGTGACTATTTAACTTCTGGTAGCTCTAACTGCACGGCTGGGGACGCCTTCACTGAGAACAGTACTGACAGCTGACAGAGCTGAGCCAAGAGAAAGTCCAGCCATATCCTATTCAATTGCTCTTGTTCCAAATGATGGCAGAGCTGGTAGACCCCCAAACCTGAGTGAATAAAGCCATCCATAAATGGAGTGTTAAACAAAAATCTTTACAGCCAAAAGCTTGTCTGAAAGAAAGAGTTTATCGAAGCACATGCTAGCCAGAAAAAGGACCAAGTCCTGGCACGCACAGTCCGAACCACCAGCAGGAGGGCTAGATGGAGAAGACAAACATGTCCACCGTCCCGGAACTGACAGGCTCTTTTATAGATTAAGTTTGGGGAAGAAAGATGTAAGTTGTTTTGAAAGAAATTACACTGGCTTTAGACAAAGGGGGAGGGAGAAGGTGAAGCGGGGCTGGTTCTGGGATAGGTACATAGTGTGTAAGGAAGAAGTGTTTCCTTTCCGTATGGTTGTGGGCAGCAGCCTGGAAAGTCCGTGCATAAGTGAGGTGTGGTGGCGCCTGGTGATCGGCTACTCATTCTTTCTAGGTAACTGCAGAAATAGCGACCTGGGTGCTAATTCAACATACATTCAGAAATGTAAGCAGTCGCGTCGATTGTGGCCTGTGGTTGTTAGCTGAGTAACCTCCCTTGTCTCTTCCATCCAGGCTCTGGCCTGCTATAATTAAATTTAGGACACCTCAGAATTTTTTTCTTGTCAGGAGTAATGTGAGTTCCAGCCATTTCTCCAAGAAGAAAAATTTTCTTTCCTGCTTCAAACAGGCGTGTAACTATTTGCTACAAACACTCCTCTCTGATGTCACATTTGACTATCTTCTCCACTCTGTGCAGGAGTGGATTGATGAGCACCTCTTGGTGCTAACACAGACCCTTTTCAGTGTCTGTGCCACACATGTACAGTTTCAGTGATTTTGCTCCCCGCGTTTCGATAAGGCTGACCAGACTTTCAGACTCGTTCACTTCTGTATCTGCTCCAATGACGTAATTGCTGCTATGAGACCTACAGAGCTACAAGAGAATTGGATTCCACAACCAGCCCTTGTCGGACATTTCCATTTGCCCTATCAAAGCTACCACAACAAATGCTTGCTCTCACCAGGCCCTGACCACTCTATATGTTACTTGCTGAGGCTCTTGATTCTTACAGGGTTTCAATGTTTAGATAAGCTTACTTTTTTTATTTTTTTCAATATTTGCTTTTAGGAGATTTTTAAAAGACCATTATCTTTATTTAATCTTGAACCATTGATACAAACAAAAATAGATCTTGTCTAGCACTGTATCCTAGACATAGTTTTCTTGCTGCAACCTAGACATAGTTTTCTTACTATTAATAGTAACTGGTAGTTGATTTTTTAAATTTTAATTTCCTTAGCAAGTTAGTAATAGAAAAAAAAATAACATTCTTAACCTGATAAAAGTCATTCATCAAAAAACTACACAAACATTATACTTAAAGAAAAAATATTAGGAGTATATCCTTTATACAAGAAAGAATTATAATCACCACCAGTATTGTCCACCTTTGGTCCTAGCCAGTACAATAACATAAAAAATGTTTAAATAATAAAAATAAAAATAATAATTAAAAAATATCAGGAAGAAAAAAATTGTCAATATTTGCAGACAATATAATTGACTACCTAAACATTCCATGATAATCAACTTAAATATAATTAAAACTAATAAAAGAGGTCAGTGAGCTGGCTGGGTACATGATCAACACCATCAGTGACCATCACCAGTTAGAAAATTGCCTATTCATAATAGAAAAAAAGTAACTGTATATATTTACATTTTAAAGTCATATATAAATGTTATATACAGACATACTTTGGAGATCTTGCAGGTTGGGTTCCAGACTACTGCAATAAAGATAATAGTGCAGTAAAGTGAGTCGTGATCTTTTTGCTGGTGGAGAGTCTTGCCTTTGATTTGTAAAAAAAAAATGCGACATCTTTAAAGCATAATAAAGCAAAACATAATAAAACAAAGTATGCCAGTAAATATATTTATGTGCAAAATATGTGCAAAATATGTGCAAAACTTATAAAGAACACAACTATACGACTTTATAAGCTATCCTTGAAAATACATTTTATGGAGAGCTGTACTACATTCCTGAATGGGATTTATTACAGAAAAGACATCAGTTCTCTCTCACAAATACATAATCTACAAATTCAAATCAATGACAATAAAAAAAACTAGCAAGATTTTTAAGTAATCAAATGCTGATTCTAAGTTTAAATTAGAAAAGAAAATAAACAAATATAACCAGTATATTGTAAGACAACAGAACAATTTTCAGATGTATAAATATATGGAAGTTTAGTTTATGATAACTGTGGCATTTCCAAGAACTAATTCTTTAATAAAAGGCTAATTGGAGAAAAAACAGGGTGACATTTTTATCTCCACTACATAAAAATAGATTCCAGGTGGATGAAAGAGAATACAAGCAAGTTTTATTGCTTCTAATTGATAGTAACTTTGTCCACTGTCA